ATTAATTACCAGAAGCTTACCGAACTTTTATCCTCTGCAAAGCTGCGGGAAGGAGAAGGGCTTTCCAAGTCAGATCTTTTAGTTAAACTGGGTGTAAGCAAGAGATTTCTTTGTAGCAAATTCATCAGTTTACTTTCTGCATCAGAGCAAAAGGAGCCCACATTCTGTAAAGGAGAATAGTTGTTTTTCGAATTAAGTACTATACGTTTACAAGGGATTTAGGACTTTCTTTTCTCACCATAAACCCACTAGAATCTTATTTTATATCAAACCAAGAACTTGGAAAACTGCTGCACTTTCTGTTAGAGAGAAATATCATAACTACCTTTATCATGAGCAAGAAAAAAACATTCTTCTGTATTTAAACTTGTTTTTCAGTAAGAAGTGGGAATGCATGACCAGGTATTTAGCACTGCTAGAAAATTGAAATAAAAAATAAATAAATGAAATCAACAATCCAATACTGAAAACTCCACTGAGCAAGAGAGTAAATTTCAGCTTTTAAAAGGCTAGAGGCCAAACTGTGCATGACAGATTCACTATTGACAGATATAAGATGCTTTGCCAGCCAGAGCAGATTCTGTAGCACATCCTAAACACGGTGCTGGTTGAACTGAATTATTTAAAAAAAAAAACAAAAGACATTCAATAGGTCATATGTAGGAAAACTTGCATTAACACTTTACTCCATCTCCCAGAAAATCCCCTCAAATTCAGCCCTATGTGTATTACTTCTTTTAAAGATTTATTAGTACTATCAGACTTTCTGGTAAAGAATGTAGCACAGCAGTAACTAAAACTAATCATCAAACTAAACATCTCCATATTTACCTCTATCATACTTCTCAGTTCATTAAGCTTCTCTTGAAGATAGTTTTCCTTTGGACTGGCTGAGAACACAGAAAGATCTCCAGCCAAAAGCACTGGAATTTCTGATCTGAATTCAGACTGCCACTGAAGGTTGCTTGCAGAAATGAGTGAGCAGCGGACAACTATATCTTCAACAGCAAGGTGTCTGAGATCTGTCCAGATCTTTACTGCCACGAAATTACAGCTTTCATCAGATAAGTACACCATAGTAGCAAAACCTAAAAGCAAGAAAAAAGTTTGAATTAAACCTTTGCATCCTTAAGTGAAGGTTGATTACCACAATTTGTAGCTATAAAAAAAGGTCACACGCATCTTGAAAGAGAAATGATAAATGTTACAAGGCAGCCTGTCTGCATGGTAACAGATGTTTCATGCTTCACCCATACTCTACACCAGCTCCCTACTGATTACAGAAAACAACTCAAAGTCTGTATTGCAGTGGCTAAAAACCAATATTCCTATGGTGCTTTTCCTTTTTATTCAGAAGATTATCCACATATTCCTACCCATGAGCTCCAGTGCCCGTGTTCCCCTCAATCCATGATACTGTACACCAAAGAGGGAGCTCGTGTACATGCACTGCTGCAGATGCTGAACACAAATGTGCAAACTCACATTCACCATTTACAGAAAAAATAAAGAAAAGCTGCTCTTGAGCTTAGATCCTGCCTTACTAACTTCCTGAGCTAATAAGCAGAGACAGTTCTGCTTTAGGAAAACAGAATTATCTGCCAGCATGTCATGGTGATGGGCTGTATTAGCAGGTTTTCACAGGCCTGAGGTGCAAGTACAATACCAAGATAACTTTGACTTCTGAAATCAGTGCTTATTCAATGAGAAGACATGAATGTGGTTCACAACGTACCTGTTCTGCTAACAGAAACTACAGCTCCGACTAAATCGACTTCAGCACATGGTGGCTGAAAAGAAGGATCCAACAAACTGGTGAATTTTAGAGTCTTTCTTGGAAAGAAAATCTGTACCAGCATCTCCTGTGATACCTTAAGAAACACAAAACTTCAGTGTTTACCACACATATAGACCATGATACACTTTAATGACACATCTTTACGCACTTAAAGCACTTACTGATAGTTGCAGATACTGAGTTTTCTTCGTTGCGATTAATTGTATGTTAGTTGAGTCTGCCCTTCCTTTGGACTGTGATGCTGACAGCTGGTAGATTCTGTACCGACTGCCCTCCTTTAGCAATGAACAAATATCCAGCAGTGGAC